GCTCAGACCAGCTTTGGGGCTTTGACCTGGGAGGCCCCTGTTCCTGAGCTCAGAAACAGGACTGCCCAAGGGCCCAGGAGTTCCGGCAAACTAGCTGGCTGGCGCCTTGACCAAAGGGCACAGTAGACATAAGGCTAAAGCTCTTGGGGTTGAGCCCAGCCTGGGCCTGGGGGCGCGCCTGCCTGCATGTCCTTAGCCGGGGGAGCAGGAGGTGCCCCAACAGCTATACTTTCTGGGCAAAGTTGATCTGAGATGGGAGGGAGGGCCTGGAAAGGTGCTGTTTTTAAAAATATATTTTATCGATTATGCTATTACAGTTGTCCCACTTTTTCCCTTTATTCCCCACCGCCCTGCACACCCCCTCCCACCCACATTTCCCCCTTTAGTTCATGTCCATGGGTCATACATATTAGTTCTTTGGCTTCTACATTCCCCATACTATTCTTAACCTCCCCCTGTCTATTTTCTACCTACCATTTATGCTACTTATTCTCTGTACCTTTTCCCCCCCTCCCCACCCTACTCTCCCTCTGATAACCCTCCATGTGATCTCCATTTCTGTGATTCTGTTCCTGTTCTAGTTGTTTGCTTAGTTTGGTTTTTTGTTTTGTTTTGTTTTTAGGTTCATTTGTTAATAGTTGTGAATTTGTTGTCATTTTATTGTTCATATTTTTATCTTTTTCTTAGATAAGTCCCTTTAACATTTCATATAATAAGGCCTGAGTGATGATGAACTCCTTTAACTTAACCTTATCTGGGAAGCACTTTATCTGCCCTTCCATTCTAAATGATTGCTGTGCTGGATAGAGCAATCTTGGATGTAAGTCCTTGCCTTTCATGACTTAGAATACTTTTTTCCAGCCCCTTCTTGCCTGCAAGGTTTCTTTTGAGAAATCAGCTGATAGTCTTATGGGAACTCCTTTGTAAGTGACTGTCTCCTTTCCTCTTGCTGCTTTTAAGATTCTCTCCTCCTTTAATCTTGGGTAATGCTATTATGATGTGCTTTGGTGTGTGTTTCTTGGGTCCAACTTCTTTGTGATTCTCTGAGCTTCCTGGACTTCCTGGAAGTCTATTTCCTCTACCACACTGGGGAAGTCCTCCTTCATTATTTGTTTAAATAAGTTTTCAAGTTCTTCCTCTTCTCCTTCTGGCACCCCTATGATTCAGATGTTGGAATGTTTAAAGATGTCCCGGAGGTTTCTAAGCTTCTCCTCATTTCTTTGAATGCTTGTTTCTTCATTCTGTTCTGGTTGGATGTTTCTTTCTTCCTTTAGGTCTGCACCATTGATCTGAGTCCCGGTTTCCTTCCTGTCACTGTTGGTTGTCTGTGCATTTTCCTTTATTTCACTTTGCATAGCCTTCATTTTCCCCTCTAATTTGTGACCATACTCAACCAATTCTGTGAGCATCCTGATCACCAGTGCTTTGAACTGTGCATCTGAATGATTGGCTATCTCTTCACCACTTAGTTCTATTTTCTCTGGACCTTTGATCTGTTTTTTCATTCGGGCCATTTTTTCTCCCTCAGTGCACCTGTTACGTAGTAAGGGGCGGAGCCTTAGGTGTTCACCAGGGTGGGGCAACCCACATCACTGCGTTGTGACCCTATATGTGGGGGAGGGGTCTGAGAGGGAGCAGTGTTGCTTGCTCCGCTCTCTGCCAGCTTTTAGTCACTTCCCCTGCTTCCCACAAGCAAAGTGGGTTCTTCTGGTGCTGATTCCCAGGTAGGTGGGCTTGTGTACATTCTAGGACCCTGTGGGTCTCTCCAATGAACTCTCCTATGAGGCTGGGAGTTTCTCCTGCTGCCGCCTCAACCCTCACAGGTGTTTTCAATCAGAGGTTTGAGGCTTATTTCCCCACTGGAGCTCTGGGTTGCAAGGTCTGTCTTGCTCCCTGGTTGTTCCTCCTGGTTTATCTGCACACCAATGTGGGACTGCCCAGGTCCGCCAGCTACTGCCTTGCTCTGAGTCCTCCCCACCCCTGTTCCTGTCCTTGCCCCTCCTACCAGTCTGGACGACTGTTTCTTCTTAAACTCCTTGGTTGTCGAACTTCCATATAGTTCAATTTTCTGTCAGTTCTGGTTGTTTTCTGTGTTTGAATTTGTTGTTGTCGTCCTTTTGGTTGTGCGAGGAGGCACAGTGTGTCTACCTACGCCCCCATCTTGGCTGGAAGTGAAAGATGCTCTTTGGTTGGTGAGTGAAGAGCGTAAGGCTGGTGTCTCCTCCAAGTTATAGTCCCTGTTCCTGGCGAGAGGTGCCCATGTCACTGAAAGGGACAGGGATTCCGTAACTCCCCTGGGGAAGCAGGACAAAGGGCCTGGCTGTCCCATTCCTGGCCCGCAGATCCCGGGGGGCAGGACCTGGCTGGGCTTGCCCATCTGTGTCCACGCCAGGCCTGGGAGGCTCCTGTCCATGTCCCCACAGCTGCTCCCCCATGAGCAGCCAGAACCCGGGAGTGAACTCAGGCATTCTCTTGCTCTCCTTTCAGGGCGAGTCTTGGGTCAAGGTCAATGTCATCACCCCAGGCTTTGGGAAAAGATGAGGCTCCCAGGTCCGCAGGGCAGGGGCAGAGCAGCCCAGAGAGGACTGTGTCTCCAACATGAAGCATGAGGGGGAAGCTGACGTGAAGGGAGGCTCAGACTGAGCCAGTGGCAGCCAGTCCCAAAGAGCGGGGGCCCAGGGCTCGCCTCCCCCCACCCTCTGCTCTCCCAGGCCTGTGAGGCTCCCGCCCGCCCCCCCCCCACGACACCCGCCCCCCCACACCGCTGCACTTCGGTGGAGGCTCCGCAGTGGAGTCTGTTTCCTTGTCACCTCCAGCTTCTAGAGGCCACACACTCGCCTTAGCTGGTGGCCCCTTTCTCCATCACCAGAGCCAGAAATGCCGCCTCTCTCTGGGCGGTCTTCCCTCACCACAGCTCTCTCCGGCTGTAGCCGGGAAACGCTCTCCACTTCCAAGGATTCAGGACTAGACTGGGCCCTCCGGGTAACCCCATCTCCGCCCACTGGAAGCACACCTGCAGGGCCCCTGGGGGGGGCCACTATTCTGTCCACCATGCGTGTGGCCTGACCAGGGACAACTCTGGCTCTGGGATCCTGTGACAATGGCTGGGCTCAGGCAGGACGCGAGCCTGGGGTGCCCGTGTCCTCCTCAGGACCAGGGGGTGCCTGGGGGGGGTACCTGGGAGGCACTGTTGCTGGACAGAGCACCAGTTCCCATCATTCTCTGAGCCCATCTCCCTTCCCAGCAGGACGGGCTCTGAGGTGGCTGGGAAACCCCCACCCCCACATCACTGTGCTTCGCTTGGACTCAGACACCCACCCACCCCTCAAACTGGGCACCCTCTCCCGAGACTCGGGAACCCCTCCATCAGCTCTTTCCCCGGGCTCCTGTGTCAGACTGCCCGGCCAAGAGGATACCGCCCTCAGGACGGACCCCTCCAGACGTGAGCACTTGCCCCTCACAGCCTGTGACCTCCCATCGCCCTTGCCAGAAGGTGGGACCAGGAGTCTGTTCGGTCTGCGGGGGTCTCCGGGACTCTGAGTCCCGGGATGGGTCTGGGGTGGCAGGAGAGGGCCCTGGCTTCAGACACAGAAGTCGGCACTCCCCCTCCCCACGGTTCTGGGGGTTCCTTGTGTGCAGAAAGGGGTTAGCTCCCTCTGCTCCTAGCCCTGGAGGCCCAGGCGCTCTGGGCGGGGGGCTGCTGTGCAGACGGGGGCACTGAGGTGGGGGCAGCAGGAGCGGAGGGGCAGCGGCCACGTTTGGACCCCGACACCCCAGGCTTTGGGCCTCGGCCCGCTCTGGCCTTGCTGGCGGCGGGACGGGCGGGAGGACCCGGTCCAGGGCAGAGCTGGCAGACCTGGGGCGGGGACAACAGCGGCCCTAACAAGGGCTGGGGCGGGGGGGGGGGGGGCGGGAGTGGCCAGGGGCCTCCCTGCTCCTCTCTATGCCAAGCCCCAGGCAGCCACACCTCCCCGGGAGGAGCCGCTCTGAGGGGAGGCTCAGCCATCACAGAGGTTTCTGGGCCTCAGGTGGCACTGGGCTGCTGTGTGAAAGGGGCCCTCGGGCCCCACAGGCTTTTGGTTCCTTCCCTGCATAACCCACGCAGACATGCCACAGAAGTCTGTGGCTTAGACTTTGGGGCTCTGCACTAGAGTTGGGGGGCCCATTCTAAAGCTGCTGGGACCCCGTGACTGAAACCAGGAAAACAAAGGCCAGCACCAGATTATGCAAGTTACCGACAGAGGCCAAGGACTCGGAGACTGACCCACCCCGCCTCACAGCCAGTGCACGGGGTCTGGGCCCACCTCCACCTCTGGGGCTCCCTTCAGGCCCCGCCTCAAACCCCCGTGGTGCGGGGCCTCTCCAACACGGCCCCCTTCTCCTGCCTATGAATCTTCATGCTCGGGACGCCCACACCTTCCCCCCTCTCCCTCCACATCCCTCACCAAATTCCCCATCCTGCGAGGTGCAGCCTGTGCAGACAATCTGGATGCCACCAGCTGTCCCGTCCGCTCTGTCACACTAAGCCCCTCGGGTGACTCAGTCCTCCACCAGCCCAGCCTTCTCCCGGCTGCCAGTGGGTCGCAGCCCCTCCTAAGGGGGCTCCTTAGTTACGCCGAGGACCCGCTTACCCCCTCTCAGACAGGCTATTTCACTGCCAGCCTGCCCCCTCCTCCTCCAGGCAGCCTTCCTTGCCTGCCTCAGCCCTGACGGTGGCACCCAGGTCACCATTCAGTTGTTCCTAATCAGGTTTTGCTACTTTTATTCATGCTTCCAGTCAGCCGGTCCCAGGGCAGCGCCCACGGGAGACACTGACAGCTAGACGAGAACTCCTCCTGGATGTCTGGACTCCATGAGTCCTCCCTGTAACGTCCACCAGTCCCCATCTAGTTCAGGAGCCGACTCAGGCCTGGCCTGTTTGAAGAGCAGCTCCCAGCTCCAGCCCCACCCGGATGGAAGAAGGCAGGCGGGGCTGCCGCAGCTCACAGACACCAGTCAGGTTGAATGTCAAGTGCACTTTACTGGGCCCCTGGGCCTCCACACGCTGTCCTCACGGAGCCTGGGGCACCCCTCCCACACCTCCAGCTGCACAGGAAGTGGGGTGGGCGGAGGGAGCACTCAGAGAGGCTCCTTCTCCTGCTCCGAAGGGTCACGGGTAGTGCTGGGCCACAGCTGCTTGCCTCTCCCCCTGCGGCCCCCATCCCGCCTCCAACAGCTAGACCCCCCTCAGCGCCAGCAGGGGGGATGCCCGGGCCTTCAGCACAGGAAGCTGGCTTCAAACCAGCCACCTGTTCCTGCTTGGAACGGAGCACGGGGGCCTGCACCGGGCTCTGCCAGGGCAGTCGTGGAGCAGAGGGGAAAGCAGCCTGCTCCTGTCGGGGGAGGGTGGGCAGACCCTGCGAGCCAGGCTGGCCCTCTCCCTCAGGCCCAGGGAGCTGGCGGTTGAAGTGGCGAGGTCCAGCCAGCAGAGGCTAGAAGGACACACTGGATAGCCGGTGGGCAGCGGGTCCGGCTGGGCGTGCCCTCCGCCCCAGCCCTGGGTCACCAGTCCCGCTCGGCTGGCTCGCGGTAGGGGAGGCCTAGGAGCCTGAAGACATCCTTCTCGGTGGGGGTGGGAAGCACACGGCCAGACCCCACCTTGAGACCGCGGGTGTCCCGCACCACAGCTGCGCTGAGGGCGTGCTCCGACAGGCTCATGCCCTTGGTCTTGGCCAGAGCCCGCATGGAGCGGTTGAAGTGGGCAGAGCCGGTGAAGTAGAGCAGCGCGCAGGCAAACTCGCCGTAGGGCACAACGATGATGTCCAGGCGCCGGTGGCGGCGCCCGGGCCCTGGGAGCCGGCACACGCCCAGGTACTTCTGCTGCTGGCCGTGCTCCTCCTGGCTCACCAAGTCGTCCGTCAGGAACCCTGGCCCAGCACAAGAGGGCGGTGGAGGGTGCGGACCAGGCCCTGTGGGGGCCATCCCACCCTCCCAGTGCTCTGTCGGTCCTCCTGGTCCGCTGGTCCCAGGACACCCGTTTCCTTGCTGGGTGACCTTGCCTTCTCTGGGCCTGTCTCCTTACCTGTAGAATGTGCATAAAAATCCCTCCCATCCCCCACAGTGCCACAGAAAGATCAGGTGAGACACTCAGCCTGCAGGTGGCACTAAGCACCTGTGTGGTGTGGGGCCCTTTGGTCTCTTCCTGGAACGGCTTGGCCACAAAGAGAGATTCTCATGAAACCACCTGCCCCTGTGTGCTGCCCGGAGATTGCAACTTCAAGGCTCTCCCTCCTGGGGGCCACCTAGCACTGCCCTGCCCCTGCCGACCTGCTCACCCGGAGGTGGAGCTTATACCTCGCTGCCGGAGGCTGTCAAGGAGGCGACTGAAGATCCCCCTGTGAGACCGGCCATCGGGGTGAGTGAGCAGCACGTCGACGTCGCCGCAGGTCGCCTTCCCCCGTCGATAGGAGCCACAAGCCACACAGAGCAGCCCAGGGTTGAGGGCCTGGGCCGACGCCCGGACCTGGGAAGGAGCAGCAGGGGGCGAGGGGCTGTGGCCCTTAGCCTTTCAAGGGGTTCCTCTCTGTCAGCAGGGGCCTTCCCTTACGCAGGGGCCCACCCCCAGCCTACGCCCCAAGCCAGTCCCTGACGAGTGACATGACGAGGAAACAGGGGCAGGGAACAGAGACCAGAAATCCACCCTGGGGGCAGCAGCTCTCTAAGGTCACGGGACTGACAGAAGGACAGGGCAGCCTAGGGAGAGAGACAAGAAGTGCACTCGAGGGCTGAGGGAAGGCGCTGATCTTTCCCTTTAGGGTTCTTCCAGGGCGGAGACGCATCTTCCCTCGGCCCCGCCCACGCCCGTGCGCCGGGTCTGAGCAACCCCACTGACGGCAAAGGGCTGGGTCTCCGCAGCCCAGGTGTCCATGGATTCGGAGCAACAGACGGAGTGTGTGACTTGGGGTTTGAGGCCTGAACAGGTGGCTGGCAGGGTGCCCTGGGCCCAAGTCTGGGGGAGAATGGAGCCCAGAAATATAACCACACCTGCATGGAGGGGGAAAGGGGGATGGAGGGGAAGAGGAGGCCAGAAATAGAAGGACACCTGCGATGGGGAAGGAGGGAGAAGAGGGTTGGGGAAGAGAGGGGAGAGGAGGGCTGGAGAGGGGAGGGGAGAGAGGCAGTTCAGAGCCAGTCTCTGTCCTTGCTGGGAGGGAGGGATGGAGCTGGGCGAGGGAACTGTGACGGAGGAGGCTGTCAGCAGAAGGGTCATCCCTCACTGGGAGGGGTAAGCTCATTAGTCCCGACCCCACCCACGGACACTGGCCTTTCATATGCAGATGGCCTCCTGCCTCCACCCCAGGACACTGAGATTTCTGGGGCCCTGGGTACCCTCAAGCATGACACCTCGATTCTCAGGACAGGCAGTTCTGCTAATCCCCTCACTCTCCTCTCCAGCCTCCCAGGAAGACAGGAGGCGGCCTGGGGCGAGTAATCCCATCAAAACCCCCTACGGCTGGACCCTTCAATGGTGGGGGGGTGGGGGGGGTGGGGGGCGTGGAGCAGGCCAGGTGGGCAGGGGGCCCAGAGGCTCACTGGGGCATTCTCCTTGCCTGGACACCGTGGCTGAGTGACGGTGTCATCACTAACACCAAGGCCTGGTGACAGGTGAACAAAGGGGCCTATCGTCCGTCCTGTGCCAGTGGCCGGGAGAAGAGCTGACAGCCGATCTCAACTGAGCTGTCCCTAGTCCGACCCGTCAGAGTCCTTGACCACAGGGAGCAAGCCCCGCCCACAGCAACCAGCCCCCCCCCACACCCCAACGCCAACGCCAGCTGAACACAGGACACCTCTAACCCCACATGCACCCTAGTCTCTGTAACCTAGGTTTTATGTGAACTTGATCCCTCCCCAACACTGAATGAAAACCTAATCCTGGCCAAACCTTATTTCTATGACAACCACAAATCTTAACTAAAAGCATCCAACACTAAGAAAACCCTACTCCTAATTCAGGTCTAACCCTAACTCACCTCTTGCTTTAGTTTTCTTCTAAACTAAACATCCTGAACTAAACCCAGTCCTACTGGCACTGGGCTTCTTCACCAGTTCTAGCCCCAAGGTGGGCTTCAGAAAGTCCACACATCTGGAAGGAGATAGAAAACTGCACATTTGCACCACTTCCGGAGAGAAAGAGTCCATGGTTCCTACCAGGTTCTCTCGAAGTTTGTGAACCAAAAAATGTTAAGAACCTCTGCCCTGACCCACCCTAACTTAGCCCAGTGCAAACACATCATCCTTAAGTACTTCTGACTAGAATCCACCTCAAATCTAACCCTAACAGGAACCAGTCCCAACACCATTCTAGCATATAAGCCGACGCTTACTCTGGCTGACCACTGAAAGCCCTAATCCAAGGAGCTGGTTCTGCAGGCCTCCCCTACCACAGCCGCCCGCCCCTTCTCTGGGCTCACAGCTTGTCTCGACCTGCTCCTTGCTCCCTGGTCCCGGCCTCTGGTGGCCCACGGCTGCCTCTGCCCGCTCAGCTCCCCAGCTGAGGGCAGGAGCTCTCGGCTCCTGGCCGGGCCCGAACCTCACGGCAGGGCCTGGCTCCCCTCCTGCTCGGAGACACCTGCTTACTGTCTGCTCAATCTCGGTGGCCTCCTCCCTGGGAATGCGCTCCAGAAAGTCATCGTAATGCTTCAGACCGATGGCCTGCTGGGCGGTCAGTGAGGCCTTGCTGCGGATGTCTTCTAGGGTCCGGAAACCCTGGAGGAAGAAACCAGTGGGGGCACCGTGAGGACCCAGGACCAGGGAAGAGGCAGTGAATGGGCGTGCACACCAGGCTTCCATCACCCCCAGACTCCAAGGAAGACCTGAGACAGGACCACCCCCAGGAGCAGTTGCGTCTGTAATCAGTGGAGCTTGGAAAAGGCAGGGGTCCTGGAAGACAAGTCCCAGTTCAGCCCCGGCTTGTGATTCCATCTGGGCCCTGGGCACTCGGCCCTGAGGCATGGTGTTCTCAGAAAGGTCCTTGCTGGTCTGGGAGACAGAGAAACATGCTTCCTGCCCCTGCCACAGAGGAACACCTCAAGTACCCCGGCTGCGGGGCAGTTCTGGAGCCAGGGCAGGCATCCACCGACGGGCCCTTTGGAAAATGGTCTCCCTCTAGTCCGGGTTCATTCCCATCAAAGCACAGGGTACGAGAACTGTAGGTCAGGAGTTCTGGGACACAGCAAAACTGAGCAGGGGCGGGGATGAGGTGCGACCTGATGGTACCACATGTGGGCAGTCTTGGTTCCGGCTCCCCAGATGTTCGAGAAGAGTTCCAAGACAGGCACGCTATCGCTGATGTGGTCCAACTTCCGCAGGTGTCCACTCTCTAGGATCTCTGTGATCTTCTCTGCCATCCGCTTCCCGATGCCGGGGATACTGCAGGCCTCCTAGAGGAGGGGGTTGGAAGAGGCAGGAAAGAACAGTGAGAAGACGGGAGGGGTAGAGCCAGAGGGGCAGGGAGCGGACTCCTTCCGCAGATGTCTGAGGAAAAGCCAGCCTGGCTGCTTGGTGGCTGGCGGCCGTGTAGCGCTTGGGCACAGCTGCTGATGGGGTGTTTGCACGGAGTGGGCTGGGCGGCTTGTCGTTTGGTGTCTGGGGGGATGACCATGGGCACAGGACGGAGGGACACCAGGCGCCATCGTCGTCACAGCAGCGAGAACTAACACTGAGTGAGGCCGTCCTGCGTGGCAGCTCATGCACGCACAGAGCACCCAGTGCAGTCCTCACGGAACACTGAGTCTGTGCTATTCTTAGTCTCTTTTCACCGGTGAGGAAACCGACACTCAGAGCGTTTGAGTAATTTGCCTAAAGTCATACAATTAGTGACTGATGGAACCAGACAACCCCGGTCCGTTGGCCTCCAGAGTCTAAACATTTTAAAAACTTTGTTATGGGAAAAATTCCAAAGTACATAGAACAGTGTAACAATCCCCCAAGCAACCATTAACCAGCTTCTGTAATTATCAAGATGTTGCCAATCTGTTTCACCAACCTCCCCATTTTTTCCTTTTGTGCAAGTCCCAGAATCATAAATTCTTAACCACTCTGCTTGATCCCCACTTGTGACCGGCGCCTCCACCCACCTCCAGCCAGTAAAGAGATCACACCCAGCCCCTCTTCGCACCCTGCCCTGGCCCCTGGGTACCTGGTAGGAGGCAACAGGCTTGTGGAAGCTCTTGAGGGCATTGATGGCCTTGGCGTAGCCCAGGGCCCTCCACTTGTCCCCCTGCACGCTGTAGGCTTTGGCCAGCACTTCTAGCTTTTCTGTGATGTGGGCGTTGTGGTTGGTCGCCTTCTGGCTTGAAGGCTGTGCGCAGACCCACCTACCCAGGCCCTCAGGGGCTGGGATGGGCTTCCCGTCTCCCTCAGGGGGGATGGGGTATCGGCCACTGATCAGGGCTTCCAAATCATCTGCGCTGACCCGGGGCTCTTCCCCATCACTGCTCCCATCGTCAGAGCTGGGCTTGAGGTAAGGAAGGAGAACAGACAGTAAGTCCATGAATGCTCCCCAAAGGTGGGGCTTGAGTCTCCTGGTTAGACCCAAGAGTTAGGCTGGGTCTCCTGGGTCTCCTGATGCCTTGGGCCTCCTGAAGTGTGGGGCCGTGCTCCATTTGACTGCCTCAGTCCCAGCCCGAGCACGCCCAGTGGCATGAGGTAGATGTGATCTGGGCCAATACAGGAGTGGAGAGTGTCGGGAAGATGTACATGGCTTCACAGTACAGACGGCCCTCCTCTCTCTGGGCCCCGGCCTTCCTGAACAACCACGGGGCCCTTCACGTTTCCGTGACCTGGTTCCCACGGAAAGGAGCTACGGGGGCAGAAAGGCTCCTTACCTGGGCTTGGGTGCTTGGAGCCTCTTCTGCTCTCTGGGGAGGAGATACAGGTCTAGTGGGAGCAGGGGGAGGAGAGGAGGCTGTCCTGAGCGGAGCCTCACAGGCTCCAGGAGGAGCAGCAGAGTCCTGGTCTGAGTTACTGAGCTGCGGTTGGGCCAGGTACCTGCGGGGACGGTGATGGGAAGATAAGACACTGAAGGCCTTACACTATCTCTGCTGCCAATCCTTCTCTACTTGGAAACCTCAGCCTTCTCGTGTGTTCAATGAAGACAATAAGAGTCGTTTTCAATAACCCAAGGAAAGAGTTCAAGATGCTGCCAGAAAACATTTGAGAAAAGTCTGGGACCAGCCCACCTGTCCGGGATGAAGATCCTGAATTCTGCTGCGTCCACCAATCTTTTCTCCTGCAGGCACAAGCTCAGCCAGGCTGACTTTACCAGCTGAGCACCTGGGGGCAGCCAGGGCAGTCTGAGGAGGCGGAGGGCTCGCTCACAGTCCATGCCATCATCCACCACAATGTGAGTGACCCCTGGGGCCTGGGCAGGGAGTATCTGGCCGCCGTGTTGGACAATCTGCTTCTCAAAGAGCTCTGCCCGGGCTCGCCCAATGCCTGTGGGCACAACGTGGGCCCATACGGAGCTCAGCCACTCTGTGGAGGAGATATCCAGATGCCTACTGTCATAGCATTCAGACATGATCCAGACGATCCCGTTCGAGTCCCGTACTCCCAGTCACTTTCTTCCCACCCAGGCTCCACCTTCTGGGGGCTCCACCACAAGCACACATCTAACTTCCTCATGGGCCATCACCTGATGTGAGGGACAGGGATTTTGGGAAGTCCTGTTCCCTCGTGTAAACTAGAACAGTGTCTGGCACACTGTAGGCATCCTGTAAATCAATTTGTTCATTTATTCATTCAACAAGTGTGAATAGATACCTACTGTATACCAGGCACAAGGCACACATGTCTTGCATTTACAGGCCTCACAGTCTAACAGATTCCCCCTTCCCACCCGATATGTTTCTGCCATCTATTTGTCAATTTGGCTACAAAGTATCTTACTACTCTGGGAACCTAAGATGGATTTCTGGGCACCCCCAACCCCCCATTGCAGGCAACCTCCTGGAGAGCCAAGAAGTCTGTTGGTCAGTCATTCATTTCCTTAGGGACCAGGGAGTATTTTCTGACTGATGGAGGTCTCAGGGTGGGGCAGAAGATAACACAGCAAGTGGCCTGCCAAAACCCTGGGACCAAGCCTAGCACAAGGCAGGTACAAACCAGCCTGCAGGCTCTGGGCGGGCAGAGTCAGCTCCAATATCCAGTTCTGGCCGTGAACAATGTAGAAAGTCTAACGGTGCGAGCACACGGCGGTTCTGAGATTGGGTCTGCTCACCTCTTGCTCCTTCACCATCTTCTTTCTTGGGAATCTTTACAAGTGCTTTTGATGATGGATCTGCATGAATTTTCTTCCGCTTAGGAAATGCCTTCAAGATGCCCCTGGGGTCCATGGAGGTATGGCTGCACCCTGGACTTTCTGCATGAGGGGTGATCAGGCCCACTGTCATGAGGAAACCCAGAACTGAGGCCCCCCAACCCCTTTGCCTGTGGCGGTAGGATCTCTACCGACCAGGGCCTTCCAAAACCCATTTGAACTTCAGTGGTTCAGCCTAGTTCTACACTCACCAGCCTTTCAAAGACAGAGTATTGGGGAAAATGAAGGGAAGAACAGACTTACTGGGGGAATTTCTGAAGGGTACCAAACGGTATCACTGGTCAGAGGGGTTACTCTAAAGATTCAGTACGGTGTCTTGCCCTGCCGCACCCCAAAGGGGTTTACTAAATGGGGAGGCCAGGTTAGGAAATAGAGCTAACTCTTTAGGAAGGACTTGGTTTCCAAAGAGACGTAGAGACTAGGTGAATCTGCATAAACTCCACATAATCTTTCTCTACCCCATCACAGACCCGCAGAGGAAAACCTGGTGTTGTGGGAAGTTAAAGAGACAGGCGGAATACCCTGTACCTGCCCTAGTTGCAGGCCTCTCGGCATGGGAGCGCTCAGCCCCGCAGCTGCGGGAAGACGGGGCACGGTCACAGCAGGTGTGCAGAGCCTTCCGGGATTGGGGGAGTCTCGACCTCCCAGCTGGAGACAGAAAAGACTCCGGCAGGTGTGGGGCATCCGCCGCGGCTCGCAGCTGGAGCGTGCTCGCGACTCCCAGCTGGGGAGCCAGAACAGTGACGGCGAGTCCGGACCCTGCCCGAGGATTCTGTCCAGGGTAGGGTCAACTTCAAGCCGAAGAGGCCACCCGGCGGGTGGGCAAGAGCAAATTACTACTTACTTACCCGAGTAGCCAATGAGAGCGGATGAAGTGAGAGAGGGGCGGGGTGCGGGGGAGGGGAAGAGGGAAAAAAAAATGGCCAGATCAATTTCCGGGTCAGCCGGAAGTGACCCCCCAGGCGGAACGGTCGCCATGGTAGCGGTCGGGCGCACAACTGGGCGGAGGGAAGATGGCGGTGACTGGGTGGTTGGAGAGTCTGCGGGATGCCGAGAAGACAGCCCTGCTGCAAGATGGTAACTCGAGGTCCCCCGGGAGTTCCCTTGATCTTTACTCTAGGTTCCGGCCCTCCGCGCGGGCGCCTCCGGAAAGGGCCTCAGAGCCTGGGATGGCAGGGCCGGAAGGGTCGCGGCCCCTCCCGAGCCAGGTCCTGCTTTTGCAGATGAGGAAACTGAGGCCCGGAGAGATGTCGTAACTGGGACACACATCTCTGGACACCGCCTAGTTTCCTGTGCACCACCTCGCTCCGCTCGCAGTTCTATTACTAATAAATAATACATAATTCCCTTCACATTATGTCATTTGCTCCTCACCGCCGTCCCAAAAGGCTGTTAATTTTCTACCCCATTTAACAGAAGAGAAAACTGATCCCAGAAGGTTTTAGATCAGCCCTAGAGCCCCAACCAATCAGTGGTACAAGTGCATCTTGACCCGGGATCCCAGGAACCTCAGTCTTGGGGTTCCATTGCTGAAGGCAGCCTGGTGTCATGGAAAGTGGAGGGACCTCGAGTTCTACTTACAACTCTGCCGTTAATTCACGGGCTCTCCAGTCGGCCCCTGTACTTGTTTGGACCTCACTTTCCTCATCTGTAAAACGAGCTGGATGGTCTCCCTGTTATCTTTGAGGTCCTTTCCAGCTGTTATGTCTGTAAGTGAACTTCTGAAATGTCCCATGGGTCTTTAGGGGAGACAGAGCAAGGGCTCCGGGCTGTGCCTGGGAGAGATGGTGCAGGGATATGGGACTGTGACTTTCACCCTAGGATCGTTGGGTATAGCCGACCCTCCCACCCCCAAAATTAAAGGTCCCTTCCTGGACCCACTTGGCTGCCTGAATGAACTAGGTCTTAGTTCCTGTAGTTTTTAGGATACCTACTAGAACAGGAGTGTCAAACTCATTTTCACTGGGGTCCACATCAACCTTATGGTTGCCTTCAAAGGGCCGAAATAATTTTAGGACTGTATAAATGTAACTACTCCTTAACTGTGAAGGAGTTGAAATTACATTCACCGCTAGAGATTCACAACTGCAGGCAGAGGCCAATCAGGGAAGCCTGGAAATTAAAATCATCTGCTCACTTATAAACACAGAATTCAGGGAGGCTTTGCTGTGTGCCAAGCTGTGTACTAGAGCAGATAGAAAAAGACAACAAACAAACCATTATTAAATACATGGATGCACCTCGTCAAACCTCTGCTGTAGATTTACCCTCCTGGTGTGGGTGTGTGGGTGGGTGGGTGAGGGTACCTCCCACCAAGAATCACTGCTCTTAGTAATGAGAACCCAATACACTTTACATTTTTTCCTGAAGTAACTTATGTTCATTGTGGAAATATGAAAAATAAATAAATGAGCCAACCATAGCCCGACCATCCAGAGATAACCATAATTTACATTTTCATACATAAACTGTATTTTTTCTATGCATGTACACTCATACATATTTTAAGCAAAATATCATACTAATATACTTAAAAATTTTTATATTCACATACATATGTACATACTTATATAACAGATATATATTAGAATAAACTGTAGATAAATGCTATTTAATTTTTGGGTAAGGGAGGATATTCTAAGTACAACTGGGTAAAAACCACAAAGGGAAAAACAGTTGACTATAAAAATTAAATATTTGGGAAAACTCACTTTAAACCAACTTATATTTGACAATATTATTGTCAAACTTATATTGAAACAATATTTGCAATATATATGACACATGGTTAATAAATTCAAAGCTCAATTAGGTTAGTAAGGAAAACATGAGTACCCAAGTAAAACAGGCTAAGGCCTGCACAGGTAATTCTCTAGAAACAGGACCGGGAAACCTGTGGGACAGCGTCAACCTTACACGTATCTCAGCTATGCAGATTGCTTGGGCTTGGGCCTCGAGTGGGTTTAACACTGGGCCCATCATGTCCTAGCTTTGGGACCTTGGGCAAATTGTATAACCTTTAAGCCTCAATTTCCCTCATTTGTGAATGGGCACATAGGATTATTATGAGACTCAAATGCAATAAAACATATAAAGTGCCAATAGTAAGCATTGCCTCCTGCCTGGACTCAAGACTGGACTCCAGGGGAGAAGAGAGTCAGGCCAGACACCCTCAGCTATTCCCAGGCAACCCCTGTACCCCACTCCTGACAGAAAAACCCCTTCCAGCTCTTGGAGCGATCCAAATGATTAAGGATCATGTGACCTAGGGGACCGCTGAGAGACATGCAGATTTGGGGGGTGAGTTCCCCGGAATATATTACATTAGGAACAACTCTAGAGAACAATGTCCCGGGGGAGTGAACTGGATAGGAAAAAGGCTGGGCAGTAGGGTAAAACTGCAGGGTCTGGTTAGTGGCACCATTAACCCTTTGGTTAAGGGTACTGGGGCTTGTATTCATCAAGTGTATGTTGGGGCCGCCAACTGGGCATTAGTCCTCTGGTACCAGCCTCACCAAGGAGCCTACCTATATCCACTTACCTAAAAATAGGGGGAGTGGCACAGCCACTTTTACAAAAATGCTTATGATTTCACTGCACCGGTGGAAGAGATGGGCTAGGGTGTTCTGTTGGGTTCTTTCTTTCAGTGAAAGATGAGTCCATGTTCATTCTCAGTCAGAATTCAGTTGAGCTCCTAATGTGTGCCAGGCACTATGCTTGGTGTTAGGAAAACCATAGGCAGGGGAGGGAACACATGTAAAATAATAACCAAGGTAAATGCCATGAAGACACATGGGAACTGACACTGTGTGGCTACTGACAGGGCCCAGAGGTGTGCGGAAGAAGGCAGAGCGACGGCCTGGCTGGAGGGAGCACTGCCTTGGGAAACCCAATTTAACATCCTGAGAACATAAGCTTGTTTTAGGAACCGGGAAGAGAAAGACAAATACACCATTCCTGAAGAGATAGGTGCCTCTAAAATTATCGTACTACGTGGTAAATGCTCCTCTGAATACAGCATTAGAGAGGCACAAGCAAGGAAGTCAATTTTGCCAAGGTGGCTGGGGGGGACAGTTTAGGGAGACATCCAGTGGAGGTGATAATTTGAGCTGGGGTTTGAAGGGTGAGGAGGAGTTCACAGAGGAGAGAAGTGTGGAGCCGTTGCTGAGAGAGGAAACAGCAGAGCAAGATTCACTGAAGGGAAGCTTCAGAGAGGAAGACAGTCCCAGGACATGTCTTAAAGTAACAGTGGACAGTTGTTGGCAAGAAGCGGGGGGCTCTGGGGGGTTTCTCAGCGCGCCCAAGGCTGCTGGTGTTCCCCAAGCAGACCCCTTGATCTGATGATGTGTAAAGCACACGGCGAGAGGAGGAGAGGAGGCCCGGGGTTAAGGCACTCTCTGCTTTGTGCGTAGGGAGAAGGAAGGTGCACTATTTGTTCCCAGATGGGAAGGAAATGGCTGAAGAATATGATGAGAAGACCAAGGAACTCCTCGGTAAGTGACGGGCTCCCAGCAGGCCCTTAAGAACATTGGGGTGACCGAAGCACACTCCCGCCTGAGGCTTGAGGGGGGAGCCCGGCACCAGATGCGGAAGCTGGGGAAGACAAGCCCTTGTGGCAAGGTTGTTCCTGAGCAGAATCTGACGGCAGGGTGGGCGCCAGACGTGGGTGGGAGTTGGTTTGATCGTTGAATCCCATCCCACCCGCAAACAAATGAGAGTGCATGGGTTTTCCAAGGTAGGAGTGGGAATGTGGAGAGTCCGTTGGGAAGAGGTTTACAGAAAAGGTGGAACTGGAAGTGATCCCTCTAGGCCGAATAGTGGTAGGGGCAGGCTTTTCACTGCAGGGTTGTGGGTGTTTTTTGTTTTTGTTTTGTTTTTGTTTTTTGCTTGTTTTGTGCCTTATTTTTGAAACCACACTAGGAACAAGCAGGTCTCAGAGGCAGCACTACTAAATACTGACCTTTATCTTGGAGAATGGCTGAATCAAAGGGAGCAGGGGCTAGAAATGGTGATTTTGTGACATTATCATTTGCGTTCCTGCAGCTCCTTCCCTCTGAAAATAGGCTCATGACTAGGGGCCCCAGTGCGAGTTTCTGGGAATTATTCGACTTGCCCATTCTCCGTCCCCAGGTGCGCACATCAGCACTCGCTGACTTCCCGCGGCTAGGCGGCTGGTCCTTTGACCCGCGGCCTGAGGCTGTCAGCAGTGGGAGTTAGTCTCTTTATTAAGTTCTACCTGAAATGCTAAGACCAATGATGGAATTACGCACTGGGTTATTTTCTTGTCATTATTCTTGACTTTAATTTCTTCCTGGGTCTGATCGACAGGTAGCATTGGTGAGGGAATTTCTTTTTCCCTTTTTCTGACAGCTCATAAATGTCCCGAACCGACAACACAGATTACACTGGTTTGCATTCTCTTCGTCTCCGGTCTTAAAGTGCGTGTCCTGCGCATGTTCAGTCACAGAGTGAAGTGTTGATCCCTCCTTATTATGAGCTGCTTGGGCTCTAGTCCCAATTGGTTTAGTCTGGTGCTATTAAAAATCTTGATGTGTTTAGCATATGACACTGATTTGGTGGAAACCAATACAGTAGTAATATCCTCACAATGCATTGTAATTTATAGCGCTCCCAGGGGGTGACAGCCTTGGAATGCCTAACAGGGGCGAGCTTATGAAAGCAGAGGTCACGTGGGCTCACCACCGCCATTGCCGGGCCAGAGCCTGGCGCGGCTCCGCTCCCCCAGCCCCCAGCATCGCCTCTCTCCTCCACACGGAGCAAATCAAACAGCTTTAGCTGCTGTGTCTATAAAAACAAACATCAAGTAAAACCCAGGCCTCTTCGTTGTGCTTGGACATGAAATTAAAATGAAAAAAGTCCACATTCCTTCATCTGTAGTTAACCTGTCACTTCTCTCGGCAGGTGGGAAATAGAGACCTCCAAACTCGGTTTCTACACTTGATCTTGGTTAGCCAAACGCCGGGAACCGGCGAAATTCCTTTTTCTTAACAGCAGAAATGGAGGTTCATGGGAGAACATTGTTTGTCTAAAGTTTACCTGAGAATGATGTTAATACCATAACTTCTGTCGGGCACCATGCTGAGTGCTTGGGGTGAATGGTCTCATGTCATCACCCACATTGCAGCCCAGTGAGGTGGGTCCTGCTGTCCCCGTATTACAGTTAAAACGTAAAGAGGGAGTTCCAAGAGGTTAAGCACCTTCTTGAGAATCACGTTGCTAGGACTTAAACCTAGGTCTGTCCAATTAAGAGCCTGAGCGAGCGTTAGTCCACCACAGCATACTGGTGGGAGTTGAGAATATTTAATCCTGCTTTATTTTCTCCTCCCTGGATGTTGCTGTCCTCAGAATGACCTGAGTAGGGGCCGGAGAGAGCAGGGAAGAGATGGGCAGAGACAACCACCCGGTCCGCTGAGCCGCTGATCCTTCTCTTACCCATTTCTAACCAGCGCCCTCCGTACCCCCAGCAGCTGCCCTGGCAAAATACTGTTCATTATAAACTTTTAAATATAAATATTCCCAGAGCCAGAGCTGACTTTTACTTGTGCATTCTGTGAAGTAAAATATGGACAGGGTTTTTGTGGCTGTAAATGGGAATAATTTCCATTTTTTAAGTTAATTATATAAATTTGATAATTGGCCAAACTGGTATTCTGTTAGAAAAACGGACAGTGATTTCCAGGGGAAGAATTGCCCACAGCGCACCTGTCTGGGACGGCGTTCTTCCGCGCTGTTAGTAAGCGCAGGAGTGTCAGATTTTTTCCTCCACCCTGTCAGCGCTGTTCATTCCCACCCCCCGCAAGGAAGGCGCTCTGTATTCATGGAGGAAGAAGCTGAAGGGCCCGTAACAATGATCGGAACATCAAACCAGCCCCAGTGGAACACAGCAGGACCAGGGGGGCAGAGGCTGAAGGGCAGGCCATCCCCCAGCGATTACATTTGGATTATCGGCCTAATCTGCTTTGGTATTTGACCGCCAGCCTGTACCCCCCTCCCAGGCTGCATTTGGAGGATATGGAGCACTTTCATCCCCAAGCACTTCACCAGCTTTATAAATGACCCACTCGATTCCCTTCAGCCTCCTTAGGGATGGGACGTGGCAGCTGTTTAATAGCCACATAGCAATGTTGCAGTGTTTTAGGGCAGAAAAGAAGAATCCTGCATCCAGTTTAAGCTGCAGGGAGTATTTAGGAAGGGGGAATGTAATTATCCACATTGGAAGTGGGCCAGGGCTTGGAGCTTTGGGGAAGGAGGCCTTTAGGACCACCACTTACCAGCCCACCTGAAAGATGGGGCCTCCTTTCAGCTAGCAGTCTGGGACGGCAGCCTACTTCCTGCTGACTTGGGAAAAAGCCCCAGGCACTGCTTCCTCCTTATATCCCCCATCAGACCCCTTATAGGGTCATTGAAAGTCTCCTTTCCAAGGTCTGGGCCTGGCTCGGCCGGGAAGATATGACAGCGTCCCAGGGAGCTGCCTCGTACACACCAGTTTGGGTTTAGCATATAATCAAATCAGAGTGACAGCAGGTGGAAACAGTCTTCTGTTGCCGCAGGAGCTGTCCTTGAGTTCAGGAACAAAGACAGGACGAGAAGCACAGAATGTGGATTTGCCCGTGTGCACTCGTGCCCACGTCTGTGGGAGAAAACAACAGGGACTGCACCAAAACCAGTTACTGGATCTCATGAGGGAATGAGTAGGGACACTCTCTTCTGCATTCCAACAAAAACTTAATCCCAAGTTTTTCTGTGTGTTTTTGTTGTTGTTTTGTAAGAGCTGAAACAGCCAAAGGTGCCAGGTTCCTGTAACCTGAATAGTGTTTAAGGTCAGTAGTAAAGAAATAACTAATTTTCCTCCTCCTTAGTGCGCTCCTTGGGAAGGCTTAGGTGCAAGCCCCAGCATTTCCCGGAGTTGAAGAAGAGATGGGAGATCCTGGGGTCAGCACTGCCTCTCGCAGCTGCAGCCGTGCTGGTGTCGCTGCAGGACGCAGGGCTTCAGAAGGCCCGAGGTTAGAGGGCCACCGCGCTGCCCAGCCCCAGGTAGTTAGGTGCGCCTCGTAAATTATATTCTCAAACAATCAAAGTTTTCCCCTTAAAGGCTAAAATATAAAAAGAGGAGTAGAGCTACTTAAAAGCATAGTAACCTTTCTAAATATCATACATGTTTAGCAAATATTTATAGAATATAATTTAGCCTTTTATTAATGATTCAAATTCTGGACTTGGAGTTAAGAGACCTGAGGTTTAACTGTGGCTTTTGCAAGTTAGTTTACCCCTGTGCCTTGCTATTCCTCCCTCTGTCCCCTGCAGAGTGGTGGCAAGGGAAGAAATGCTATTTCTCGTTTAAAAACACAGGCATTGCACTGGGGCTTCCTGAGGGAACCGCCACCCTGAAGGTCTGTGATGACTGGATTTCACTCTGTAGCAACCCCTTCAGACGCTAAGGGTGCTTACTCGCCCTCACACTAGATGGTCCCCTGTGCTTAGCAGTTCTGACACTGCCCTCTGAGGTGAGCTGTCCCCTCACACTGCTGCCAGTGTGCCTGGGGAAACAATTAGTTTCCTGCCGCATTGCACACGTAGCATTTCATACACGCAGTCCGGGTGAGCATCCAGGAGTGGTCTTTCCCACGGTGCAGGGGGAGGTGTGTGGTCTTGTCACAAGAAGCTGCTGCTTGGAGGCGCTGGTCACTTCTGAGTCTGTGGCTGGGACACAGGCCCCCAGAAGGCCGGGGAGCGGGGGTTCCAGTTAAGCGAGGCGCTGTGTTACGTGAACAGGTTTGGATATACTCCTGGTCACAGTCCATTCACTTAAAAGAGTAGAAGTATTTGTAGAGAAAAAGAAGTTGCCTATAAAGCATATTTCCAAGCTTTACTCTTCCATATTAATTTTCATTATAAACTTGGAAATGTGTTTCTAGGGAGAATTTTTGGCCCTAAGACGTAATAAAACCACACTGCAGAATGCAGTAGACCTTGTAAAAACGCACATTCAAGGGAAAATTCTAATTTTACGGCACACTGTGGTGTTCAGCTTGCGTGCTGCACTCCGCACTCCGAGCGGCGAGGGTGTTTGGGTTTGGCACAGCTGCTCCAAAGGTCTCAGAGAAACGCACCGCTCCGATCCGGAGAGTCAGACTGCAGCTCTCGTCCCGCCCCAGCCCAGGCAAAGCGGAGCAGCTAAGGGCAGTAGCTGCCGCAGAATCCCTGGCCCTCTTTGGGTTGTTTGGCTGCTGACAGCGGTGTCGGGAAGGCCGCTGGCCTCGAGCAACTTCAGGGCTGCCCAGGCTAGAGTGCCCCCCAGTGCGGCAGGACAGGGAAGGAGCAGAGAGGTCACAGGCCCAGAGGGTGCCCTGCAGTGACAGGCTGCGCCGTGACTGCGGTCCTGGTGGCACGGCTGAGCGGCCTTCGAGCAGCGCTGGTCAGGTAATGTCCATTAAGCTCGTTTTTTCCGCTTATAATTTCCATAATGGATGTTCCTTACTTGAAGGAAAAAAAGCTTTATGCAAACATCTGGCTTATAAAACAAGGTAACATAGAGATAGTTGTTTGCATTACAAAAGGATAATTCTTCACAAGAAAACATTAGATCGTATATAAATAATGAATTTAAGCTGTGGCGTGTGCCTGCTTATGTGCAGGTACCCCTGAAATGAGTGCCTTTCTACAGGTGGACTTTCTGAGTCATGAGACAAGTCTGCCTATCGGCTTTCACCCTCTTAATTCGTTTTTCCTTTGCACATTTTCAGAGGGGAAAAAATGCATGTCAACTCACTCATTTTGGGATCCAAATCTTCCCAGTATTAGTAGCTACCCTTTTCCTAACTCTCACATTTCCCCCTTGCTGGCAGCCACCGCTGTGGGAGGGGGTGGTGGTTCTTACCTCTTCTTGGCTTCTTGCAGAGGTGTGCTTGGATGGACAAAGCCAGTGCAGCAGGCCTGTAGCTCCCACTTTTATCCTGTTCCATTCACCTAATGTGATGTCAATGATTCAGCAGAGAGAGCAGCGCCCCTTTCTTTCCCATAGTCCCACTGCTTCCTTCTCTCCCCAGTAAGAAAATGGCGTGTAAAAAGTGCCCTGGGAGCCTTGGGCCAGTGGCAGATTGAGGTGGGAGAGCCAGCACCCCGCGGAGCAGGGAACCTGGGGCCTGAACTCATCAAGGAAAGCAATGCCAATGTATGTGTATCTGTCAGGTGTCTTGGGGAGGCGGGGCTGAGTGGGGAGGGGGCTGTCAGAGCTTGAGGGCAGGGACCGTGTCTTGTCCACCCCTCCACCTTCTGCGTGCCCACCTGCACACAGAGCTGTGGCAGTGTTTGCCTGAAGGGGCGCCCACAGGGCTTTGGGCCTGGGCATCCCAGGGTGAGGGCTCTAGGCCTGGAATGGCACAGCGATGGGAGCATCAGAGGGAGCTGAGAAGAGCTGAGGGCCCCTCACTGTGCCCGAGGGCAGACATTTGTGGAGGGGAGCCATCCCTGCCCGCCGCTCCCCAAGAACAGTCCTGGATTTGCCTTCTGCAGCCCATCTTCCTGCGCAAGGACACCAAAGTGTGTTTCCAGTGGCGGATTCGAAACCTCCCCTACCCTAAGGATGTCTATAGTGTCTCTGTGGACCGGAAGGAGCGCTGCATCGTTGTCAGAACAACCAACAAAAAGTAAGTGGCGTGGCCAGCAGCAGCCTGCCTGTGAGTCAGCAGGATGTGGGTGGGGTTGGCCCTGGCTTGGGGCTCAGAGGGCTCCCTACCGCGGGTGGAGTGGGGGGTGTTGGGCAGAGAAGCCTCCTTTTCCAGCTCTGAGGGAGGAAGGGAGGAGGGCTGCTCTGGAACCCGAGAAGGCAATGAACACTGACGGGCCTCCTCCCTGCAGGACCAGCTATGGCCATGTGGTCAGCTTCATCTGGGCGAGGAAATTTGAGCAAGCGTCTAGTCTAATACCTGGTATCTACTAGGGCTCAATAAGTATTTTCTGAATGAAGAATGAAGAAGATGAGGGATCTTAGGTGCTTCTGTTGTAAGGTCATTGTGACCTTGACCTCTGGCTGGACCCAGCCCATAGTGAACTTGGCCTGGTGATATCAATGTCAGAGCTGGCCTGGAAGGGCGCTGGGGCCTGGGAGGCACGCCTGTCTGAGGTGGCGGTTACAGGACTTTGAAGTGTTGGCCCAGGAGCAGCAAACCTGACCCCTCCCTGGACTGAGGGACAGTGCGCAGGCGCTCGGGCTTCTTGAAAGTCTCTCACGTTTTATTTCAAAAGGGACACTCAGCTTCCCTTTGCTCTTCTCTCTGTGGTCTGCTAGCGGGAGACAACATGTGGGGTTGAGGGGACAGAGGTGTTTGAGGTGGACGCTGGATCCTGGCAGGGCTGCTGCTGGGCTGCCTGTCTTGGAAATGTATTGATCCTGTTTGGGTTTCTGGAGCTTCGATCACAGGAGAGGGAAGAGCCCTGTGTTAACCAGTCTTGCCGTGGGCCGGGGGGTTGCCGTGTGGGGCCAACTCCCGTGACATAGATTTGGGGTATCGAAGTGGAAGATTTCATGAGCTACTGGCCCACAAGCTTTGAAGCCACCCAACATGCCTCTTGAGGTGCTCAGCTTAGTTTAGCTAACTGTACTGGTTTCCGTGCATTAAAGGAAGACCCAACTCTTCGTCCATCTTCTCAGATGGTGTGGTGCCAGCCCCCCGCCTCCTGTCTCTCGGGTCCCCAGGGCCCACAGGGAAGCAGCACGGTTCCCAGGCCCCCTCAGTGCAGCCCTGGGTCCTGCCCACTTCTTAGGACCAACCCCCATCACTTTGGCAGGGTTAAGGAGACTGGGAAGGGGTGGAGATGAATGAATTAATTTCAGGTTTATTGCTGTACATGCAGCCAGCCAGTAGCCCCAGCAGTGGGCCTTGTCCATAAATATAAAGTCATAGTAATAAGGGTTTGCGTTTATAAAGCACTTTGAAGCCCTCAGACAAAAGGCACTTTATTCCCGTTATTGTTCTCATCATTAACAGGAGTCAGTGCCTAAAGTGGGATTTAGCAATTTCAGACAACTGAGAAATTGCCTTTAGGAAAACAAACTCCGACTTCAGCAAGCATTCCCTGGCGTAAGAGGCCTTGGGTCCAAACTGGGAACAAAAGTGCTTCTGATAGCACTTGAATCTGCAGCCCAGCAGTTTGTGGAGCTGGCTGCTGCCTCCCTTTTGTCCCCCAGAGGTCACTGTCGAATACAGATATCAGGCAGAAATGTGATTACCAGGGAGTGAGAGAAGAGAAGCAAGCTAGCTCACCAAAAAATTCATCTGAGGGCAGATCCTCTGGGTCCCATCTCCTGCGCGCATTCAGCCATAGGTGGCGCTGTTGGCCAGGAGCTCCGTGGCTGGAGGCCGACGTCGGAGCCCGGGGAGCTGGGGGTGCATTTTTGAACTGATGGGTGAGGCCAGGTGGGATGGAAGTAGAGCCTCCAGAGGGGACAGGGGCAGAGACCGGAAGGGAGAGGAGTTTGTCGGTGCCCACTTTGGAGCCGGCACCGCGCAGCTGGTCCACTGGCCCAGCCTGGCTCAGCCCAGCCTTCCTCGGGTCCCTCCTCAGGGAGGGAGGCGAGAGGGGTCACTGCACCCTTAGTCCTTAGAGTTTAGTGGCATTTCCATCTTCTACCTGGAGTAGTAATGTGTCCTATACTTTTACTGCCACTAATTAAACAGAATTGAATGGCCTTTCCTCTGAGCAATGGTTCAGTTTCTCAGAATACTTTAAAAATCTGTTTTCTGATCATCGCGCCGTCTGGAGGTGGGCAGGGCGCCTGTTTTTGTTCTCGTGCGGTGTGTTCGCGGCTGCCGGAGTGCATCTGTAGAGTCAGGGCGGTGAACTGCCCTGCCGAAGGTGAGGTCGGTGACGGTCTGAGGCCCGGGCACCTGCAGTTTCCACCGTGCCACGGCCTCTCTCTCCCTTCTGCCTTCTTCATTCACCTCGGGGCTCCACGCCTGCCCCCGTTCTAATATTCTGCAATGTGGTTGCTAGTAAAAGCTGGATTTCCTTTGTCCATGCCTGCCTTGACACTGGAGAACTGGGCTGGCTGCTTTTTTCTTTTTAAAATTTTTATTGATTTGAGAGAAAGAGAGAGGAAGGGTGGGGAGCGGGGGAGAGAGAAACGGTGACTTGTCCTTCCACGTATTTCTGTACTCACTGGTTGATCCTTGTATGTTCCCTGATGGAGGATTGAACTCACAACCTTGGCGTATCGGGATGACACTGGGACCAACTGAGCTGCCTGGCCAGGGCTGGGCTGGCTGCTTTTCTTGCAGGAATCGAATCCAGTGTGTCATGTCCTTGGCCTTGGGTGTGAGTGAGGGAAGGAAGAATGTGCTTTCCCGGGATCCCCGTGTGGCACCACCTGTCCCCGTTCAGAGGGTTTACGCAAAAAGAAGGTGCTTGGCCTCAGCCTAGAAGCTGGCAGCTGTAAGTGGAATGAGCCGAGTGCTGGAGTGTGAAGATGTCGGCTTAAATACGGCCCTTGCCACGCATTAGTTGTAGTGTTCTATGCAGGGTTTCCCCATCCGTCACAGGAGAACACTCATACCTTCCTCACAGACTGGGGAATTTGATGGCATCGCACAGGTACCAAAGCCTAGCACAATGGCCGGCCATAAGCAGGTCCTCAGCAACTCTTTGGAAATTGTCATGTGAAGGGAGCTTGGCTGATTTGACATCGGTGATACTAACACTACAGGAGGTGTTAATAGATGTTGCTAGAAAAAAGGATTCTATGCTGAAATAAGTTTAAGAAACCCTGGATTAAACAAGTTTTTCATTGGTAGGGCTTCTGAGAGCCTTTAATATATGAGTGTGCCTGTGACTTCCCAGGAGGGCTACTGTAGGCCGGGGCGGGCAGTGTGCCCAGAGCCTTGGCGTTTAAGAAGGAAGGGAGATTTGCGCACTGATTTGCTCAGGGCTGGACTGGCTGGAGGCGTCTCTGGGCTACTCTGGCCCGCCCCCGTGTGCAGTTGTACCGGACGCCCTGGGGAGGTGTGTGCAGCGTGGCCCGTGTGACTGTCCCCAGCGACCCTGCTCCACGTTCAGCCTGTCCTCCTCCGGCGTCTCTCCCTGAAGACCTGGCCTCTGTGCCTGTCCCCAGCGCACTGCACCCACCGAAGGGAAAATGGGCTGGGAAAGGGCGGGGGTTTGGGCAGTACAGGGGGAAGAGGGTGATGGGGTGTGGTGGGTCATTTCTTCTTCTGATTTTAATGGTCCTCGCTTGAGGATATGTTTATCGATTTTTAGAGAGAGAGAAAGGGAGAGACAGAGACAGAGAAACATTGATCAGTTGCCTCCCACACACATTCCAACTGGGGATTGAACCTGCAGCCCAGGTATGTGCCCTGACCGGAGATGGGACCCACAGCCCTTTGGTGTATGGGATAATGCTCCTACCATCCCCGGCCAGGCTGGCAGGTCATTCCTGAAGTAGCCAAAATAAAGGAACTGTCCTTTCGGCACGCACTGAAGAAGGTTGGCCTATTTCGGCCCACTGGACGAGCAAACTAGGAGTTTATCTAGGATATTTCCTTTATTTGAGGAGGAAACTGAGGCCCACAGGTGAAATGGTCTGCCCAAGGTCACAGGGCAGGGCCAGGAGTCCTTCTGAGAGCCTTTGCTTCCTCATGCGTCTTTTGAACACTTTTAAGGTTCAGAAAGAAAGACCACCGTGTGTTAGAGCACCTCGGGGACCCGCAGGGTGGCTGGGTCCCGGGGAGCCCTGCTCCTGTATCTGCCCTGTCCTTGGACAGACGCAGGGAGTTTAGACCAGTGTCTGTTACTTAGCAGTGGGACTGTGGAATGACGGGAGGGTCGGGAGACTGGGGAATTGTCATTTGTTGTTAGAGCATCTCTGTGTACCACTGTTGTGACTTGGGCAAGATGCCTAACTTTTCTGTGCCTCAGTTTCCTCTTCTGTAAAAGGGGATAATAGAAGTAACCAACCTGAGAGGGTTGTTTTGAGGATTCAATGTGCATAGAACAATGTCTGGCACCGAGTGTTAATAAATGCCACCTCTCACTGTGTGGCTGAGACTGGGAACAGTGAAAGGGGGTGGAACTGGGGGTGTGTTGGGGCATCTTCAGAGAGCCCAGGGACCCCCTGCTCCAAGTTTAAGTTTTAGCAGAAACGCAGCACGGTCTCCTGTGGCAGGGATATGGCCTTGCTTCTTCATCCTTAAATCCCGAGGCTCACAGCTCAAGGCCTAGGACACAGTTGATGCCTAAGAAATGCTTGCTGCCTGAGGCTGGGTATTCTGGCTTCTCCAGAAGCACAGCGCGCCTGTCTCTAGTCCAGGTGCTGGCGAGACAGTCAAGTGCAGTTCCTCTCAAGGCAAACCCCAGGGCTGCCCCCTGGGAAGGGATGCCCCATACTCTCTTGAACACTGCCTGTTAGGAGCTTCTGAGGAAAATTGTTTAACCTTGACCAATAAACTAAACCTATTAGAATAAACTCAAAACAAAGCTGAGTCTCCAGACGCACTGCTTCCATTCCCCCGGCCTCGTGAATGGAGGTGGGTGTAGGAGCGAGAAGGGGGCAGCCATGCACCTCAAGTTCTCTTTGAGGTTGTTGCCACCATTGCCGTTGAGGCCAAGCTCCGGAATTACTCTTCTAGTCCCACTGCCCCAGCCTGGGGCATGTGGCTCGAGAGTGAGAGCGCCCCTCGGAGGGTGCACAGGAGTGTCCCTGTCCTGCCTGGCACACAAGCCAGGCCGGTAGAAAGGATGCCCCGTGCTCTGCAGGGCAAGGCTTCTACGCAGGCCCCTGGGGTGTGCCTGGGCCGCATGTGCCTGGGCTGCGTCTCTCCCAGTTCAGCTCCTTGCTGTATTTGCAAGGAAGATGTTAACACTTCCTAACAAGCCTTTGTGTTCATCTAATCTTTTCTGTTTAACCTTTGACACCCCCCATTATCAGTGTCTGCCACCTTTGCTGGTCAGACCAAGGGCCCCAGGAAAAGGCCTCAGCCTGGGCTGGTGAGGAAGAGGATGAGGCCAGCATTCCACCCCAGTGTGCAGGCAGATGGATCGCCTTTCCCTGGGGCAGAGCTTTGGAAAATAAAGCAAACCCGTGGTGCCATTAGGGCCTCCCAGCCCCCACTCCTTTTGAACTGTCAGCCTTTAAGTAAACATTCTTTTCCTGCCACGGTCCCGCACCTTGGCGGGGAGTGGGGAACCTGGGAGGAGAGCCTCCGCTGCACTGAGGGATTTGGGCAGGGAGAGCAGGGCCAGAGGACCGCATTGATGTCAGCTCTCTGAGTCCCCAGGGCATCAGGGCTTTTGAAGTGGACTCGAGGTAGCTGTCACCACAAGGACCAGGCTCCTCTGAAGTACTAAAAGCCCCATCCTCTCCAGGCCCCTCACTTGAGTTTGTTTGTACCTGCCTGCGGCGTTTCCCTTCCCAGCCCACACATCCTCGGCAGCAGCGGGGATGCCATGCCCGGGCGACAGGTCTGGCAGCCATTGACAGGGCCTCGCTGCATCTCCACTAGGGAACGTGCCAGACGGGCCGACTGCTGCAGACGAGCAGGCCATTCTTTGTGCTCTGGCGTGACGAGCAGCAGCCCGGGAGCTGGGGATTTCAGCCCTGACTCCGCTGACAGTCCCCTGTGAGACCGGGCAAGCGGCTCACCTCTCGGAGCCCAGGCTTCCTCCTTGGTAAAGGAGGTCCGGTTTCCCCCAAAAGCAAGTCCAGTTCACACATTGTGGACTGGGTGTTGCTGCCTGGGTTTTTTTGTTTCGTTTGTTTGTTTGCTAAAAGTGATCGCTGATCTCTGGACTGGCACCTGCAGATGGCCGTGGTGTGTGTGGGGTGTGAAAAGGGAGGAGTGCGGTCTCAGGGCCGACACAGTGGTCCAGCGCCCCAGGGTCCGGCCTCCTCAACGAGTCACACGGTTGTCCCCTCCGGCAGCTTTCTCCTGTGGATGTGCTTCCCTCTCTGGCCCACAAGCTAATCAGGCCTTGAGAGACCCCAGCAGAGGAAAAGGTAGCTGAGGCCTTCCGTGGAAATCCATGTACATGGCAACTGTCGGCCCCCACCTCTGGGGGACAGCCCTTCTTCAGTCCCTTGCTTGTGCACACGTCCCGTTTTCCCGGGGCACAGAGGTCTGGCTTGCCCGAGCACTCTGCACATCCCACGTCTCCTCTCCATGTCTTTGGTCACGCTCAGCCTGCAGTGCGAGTCCCTCCGACGCCTGGTCAGTCAAGGAATCACAGGCAGTTCTGCTCTTTCACCTCCAGACTGGCCAGAGGCCTTTCATTCTTGGCAAGGCCCCTAAGCTCCGAAATGCTGGGTTCGAACTGGCTTCATTCTTCCTCTCTGGCTGCCGGCAGGTGTGCAGCACCGTGTGCAAGCTTGGCAGCACAAGGCTTGACGTCCAGCGGTTGGGGCAGCCTCACTGGAGGTCCCAGTGGCCCGTTCATGTCCCCACAGGTACTACAAGAAGTTCTCCGTTCCTGACCTGGACAGACACCAGCTGCCGCTGGATGATTCTTTGCTGAGCTTTGCTTATGCCAACTGCACCCTGATCATCTCTGTAAGAGTCACCCAGGCCGCTGCATCAGGGAGAGGCTCCCCCTTTCCCTGCACACTTGTCAGGCCATGAGTCCCCAGTTCTAGCCCCAACCCCTGCGGTGTACTTGCTACAGAGCAGGCATCTCTGCTTCAGCTGGGGAGAGCAGGGTGGGGCTCAGAGCTAGAAGAGAATAGAGGGTGAGGGGTGGAAATCATAGGACTGGGGTTCTGGTTCAAGGCCTATTCCTACCCAGCCTTGTAACTTGAGAAAATCATTTAACCCTGTAGGCCTCAATTTCCTCATTTTTGAATAAAGGGATCAGAAGGGGCCCTGAGTGTGCACACATGCACACACATGTGTGTGTGAGAGGTGCGGGGGAGAGAGAATGGGGAGAAGTGACTGAACTATGTCCTCATCCTGGCTCCATCTACAGTACCAGAAGCCGAAGGAGGTCCTGGTGGCCGAATCAGAGCTGCAGGAGATGCTGAAGAAGGTAAAGGTGGCCCACAGCAGTGACGGGGACTGCAAGACCCAGTAGTGGACCCCTGAGCCTGCACCTCTGGCATGAAGGGGGGCGCTGTTTCCATCAGCAGGCAAGACTTTGCAGCCTGGGCCTTTCCTACACAAGGGGCGGCCTCTTCTCATCCAGGCTCTGCAAAAACTGGACCACGGGGCACTCCTGGCCCCAGCCATGCCTTATCTCCTGAGTAAAGTCATTCTGAGTCACTGTCCTGTGGTCCACTTCTCTGTGCTTCTATCCCCAGGGAGGGTGCTGGTGGTGACATTCCCTTCTCTATCCTAGGGACCGTCCACATAAAGCCTTCCCTATAAAGGGAGGTGTGGGCCTTAGATGGAAAGTGGGTGGGGGAACCGTGATCCCAGCTGGGGAGGGCTAGCATCTTCCCCAACCTGTTTGCATGAACTCAGAAGACAACTAGGCTTACAGATGTGGCCCAAAGGAACTCCCTAAGGTAAGGGTGTGTGAGGGAGAAGCTTTTATTTAAAAATGCAGAAGCCTCAGACACAGAGTCAGGAGGCAAAGACACTGTGGGTGGAGAGCCAGGGTAGTGCGGCAGCCTCGTGAAGAGCATGTGCACGCTGGGTTGGGGTGAGGAAGGGGCACTGAAGATGGACAGCAGCCTAGCTGCTGGTGGTCCTCTCTCCACATCCTCCAGGTGATACCCACCCCACCACCAGGGCCAAAAGGGTAGATGGTCAATGAGGGGGTTTCCTGAAGAAAAAAAGAAACCTTTGTTGTTTGGAACACAGAGCCACGAGGCTGGTCTCATTGTTTCCCCAGCATGCACATCCCTAAATTTGAATCTGTTGCCCCCTTTCTTTGGAGTCTCCCAGGAGTCCCCGGCCAGTGAGGAGCCAGATCTGTGAACATTTAAGCTTTATTTTTACAAAAATGAACATTGTAGCATGGCCTGAGGCTGGGATGGCTTAGAACTCAAAGCTGCTTGCTGGGTTCCTTTGTCCTTTCTTGGTTTCAAAGGGCGACCAGGCCACAGTGCCCCAGGAATGAGTCTTCAGCCCCAAGAGCTTGATCCAGGGTGGGGTCTGACTGCGGAGGGGGGCGCTGGTGCCAGCAGGGGTACTGGCAGCCTCACCCCTCCTTCCAGGGAAAGGACAGAGAAGGACCACAGGAAAGGCTGGAGTACCTCACCTCACTCGAAGCTATCCTGGGTACGGGGGGCGCCTCTCCAGGCCAGATCCTTGCTCTGGCCAACAGGAGAGCAAGGCCTAGTGGGTTCAACTTCACTCTCCCAAAGCAGCAGGTCCCTTCTTTCCACTGGTTCCTGGGAGGGACAGTGTCTCTGGGTAACCCCAGCTCCCGGGAGTCAGCAGCCTTTAGCTTAAGGGCCCGAGCACTGTGGTTGCAGGTCTGGGAGCACAGGCACGGGGGTGGGAAGGCGTTATCACTGCACCCTCCAAGCAGGATAGGTCCCTGAGTAGCTGGCTTTCTGGGCCCACAGGCTGGGGTGGCCCTGACTGTCACGGGTTTTGAAAGTCCAGGATGTGGAGGTTGTAAGCCAGTGCAGCATAGAGATGCTTGGTGGTGAAGCGCAGGCAGTACACAGGACTGCTCTGGGGTGTCGACGTCAGCGGGAAGGCCTGCAAGGGAGGGCACGAGAATGGTATGACTGGCCCGAGTTGGGGGGGGGGGGAGCCCGAAACCAGGATTCCAGACCCAGTGCAATGGGCTCCCACCCACCGTCTCTGGGCACGCCCACTCTCAGGTGCAGCTGGTAAAAATGAGTCCTGGCTTCTTGCAAGATTGTGAGGTGGGCGGGATGCTTACGTGTAGGCAGGCCCTTTGGCGCCGGTCCCACAGTCGCACGACGCCGTAGTAGGAGGAACCTGTGGCCAGCAAGTGGTTCCCATCTGTCTGCAAGCAGTACAGGGTGCTGTCGTGGGGCTCCTCCCACTCCATGACACACTTCCTGTCCAGGAAGAGGAGATGCAGGGGTGGGGGGGAGCTTCAGGGTACCCCCACCCCCCACTCTGGCTGGGAGGGAGAGAAGCTGAATCACCACATTCTTTAAAAGCCAGCCTTCGGGGGACGAGCCTCCTCAGTAAGGCCTCTTCCTCACCGGGCCCCAGCCCCCAGAGAGGATGAGGCCCCCATCTGCGTTCCACCCAGCTGACTGCCTCGCAGGACTGGGAAGGCCTCAGGGCGGAGAAAGGCCTGGAGGAAGGCTGGGACAGAATGCCCAGGGATGGCACCCTGACAGCTCCCGAGGCTCTGATCAGGGCCTGGTGGCTACTGTCCCCGAGGCCCCAAGGCCAGGACCGCCCAAGGTGAGGAGTGTAAGCCTGACCTGACCCTGCTGGCTGCCCCCTGACGTGCAGTTTCTGCACCTTCTCCTCCCAGGGTTCCCACCACCTGTCCTCCTGCCCAGCGCACTCACCTGACGCTGGCTCGGAGGTCCCAGTATCGAACGTAGGTGTCATAGCCACAGGACAGCAGTGTGGAAGGGGACTCGTACATGAGGTCCAGCACCCCAGCCCCTGGGGGAAAGTCGCTACCCAGATGCGTCATCAGCTGCCCACTGCGGGGAGAGGACGGGCAGAGGATGAGCCACTGTCCCACCTTGGCCTGAACAGACTCTTTGAACCTCCAAATGGCATCTGTCCCTGAGGAAATGCGGCTTTCCTCCCGGAGCTAGAAGTAGACTCCCTAGAAGTGGGGTCCAGAGGGGAGATGCCCCAGTCCCTCTCCGTAACAACACCTCCATCACTGCCAGCAGTCCCTGCATCACACCTGCACGCCGGCCACCCACCACCCAGCCTCTCTGCCTCGGGACGATGAATGGGCCTTGCTGAAGGGGTTGCGCGCGCACACACACACACACATTTGGTTACTTTATACTCCTTGATCCGCAGGTCATGCCGTTCTGAGCTGCCTGAGTCCAATGCCTTAATTCCCGCCTGTAATCTGGGGCTCAAACCTCAGTGGGGATAAAGACCACACAAAGGGAGAAGGGGAGTCCCAGGAGATGTTAAAACAAGTAAACACCTTTGTGTCTGGGGAGCGAAATCGCTGAGAAAGCAGCTTAGCGGGCTGGTCCCTAGTGTTCCCGGCCAGGCTGGCCCCCAGCCCGGGGCGAGCACGCCTCTGTGATCACAGCCCCCAGCCTGCTGGGCTCCAGCTTGCTCCCCCACCCTCGCCCCTCCCGGTGGCCGAGAGCAGATTACTGAGAAGAACAATTTCTTTGTGACTGTGTAATTCCCTCCGTGACCGCGGCAGTGGGCAGACCCCTCACCCGATGCCAGACCCCTAGCAACCATGTAGGGGGGCCCCCTGGCCCTAGCAACTGCCCCTCAACATCAAGTGCACCCGTTAATCCCTGTGCCTAGGGGGCGGGTGGAAGCAATGAGTCTGCAGAATGGCTGAGGGAGTGAGGGAGAAGAGGGGCGCCCTCCAGGCCCCATTCTCCAGCTTCACCCAGAGATGCTGGGCTCTCCTCCAGGACAAGACCAGAGAAACAAGGCCTTGGACACTTCACAGGGACACACAGGTAAGAGGCCTGGGCACGGAGTGGGGAGGACTCCATGGTCACGCCAGCCCAGGTTTGGCCCACACAGTGGCCATCAAAGGGCTTAAGGCAGACGAGGCTGCCGGTCACATATGTGGATGCGGCCCTCAGCACCAGTCCTTCTACCTCACACACACGCTGACCCTCAGCCTCCCTCCTCCCCAGCAGGCTGCCGTCTCCCCTGGAGACCGAAGGAGGAAAGGAGGCCGCTGCGGCTCCTTCCTGCCCACTCTGCCTTTCCCCTTCAGCCCTGGGCAGTGAGGTGACCCCAGCAAGGAGCACTGCTGCTGTCCGGTGGGGACCAGGCCCTAAGGTGGCACCTGCGCCCAGCCGTCTTTCCAGGGCAGCGCTCCTCTTTCTCTTGGGGTCGCACACGACAAATCCACGGGGGGAAAGGGCGACACTGGGCGAGTCCCGAGGAGGGTCAGGCAGAAAGCCCTCTGTCCAGGTCAGCATCTCCTTGAGATCGCTGACCTGGGCTCCCAGGAAGCCCTGCCTTGCCCGACGGGCCACCGGCCACGCTTCACCCTCGCCGGGCAGGCCGGAGCCCCAGAAGTGGCGGCCTCTCTCCCTGTCCCTCCGGGTACACGAGCACACCTGTGTACATCAGGTCGGGCTGTTTCGCTCCACGGTTCCCCCTCTCCTTCCAGATTGGGGGCCCTGCCCCCTCCATTAGTGAGGCCTTCAGGAATGACTGAGGAGCTCTCCCCTTTAATCTATAGAAGTAATTTCATGTTTGTCTGTTTGAAACAGAAGATGAAAGGCAGTGGGACGGGGGGCGTGAAGCCCAGCATGGCTCTACCTGCCCACCCTGGTCCCGGGGTTCGGGGGGAAGGAGAGCTGGGCATCCGGGCTCGGCAGGGTCAGCAGCACAAGGGCCACACCCAGACCAAGTGGCCAACCTGGACCTGTGCTCCAGAGTCTGTGCCACCGCTGGAGGGTGCCACGCGGCGACACATGCAGTGAGACACACAGGCCTCTCCTCTCCGAGGACCGGAAGGCACAAGTAAGCACCAGCCCCGGGGCCAGGACACGTCCCAAAGGCCCTCGTCTGCCAGCCCAGCCCAGCCAGGGGTCACAATTTTCTTTCTGCCGCACTGTCTCTGACTCTCTGAAGTGGCCACACACACTTTAAATGGGCCAATAAAAAGACACAATTTCTCTGGCCTCTGGGCCCAGCACCGTGGAGCTCTGCTGAGCGGCGCCGTGGGGTTAAGTTCGCAGCATGAGCCGACACGCGGCGCTCTGGGAAACGGCCGGGCTCTTCCTGGCGGTGCCCTCGGAGCCCTGCTGGGGCTTTGATTTGGGAAAACAAGCAGAAATGGCTCCGTGGGCCCTTTGTGGCCCTCACCCAGGACCAATTTAACTAGAAAAGTGTAGCTCAACTGTTGTGGTGGGGAGAGAGAGGCTGGCCGACAATAGCCCCAAACTTTGGAAGTAAGGGGGACAAAACAAGCTGTCTCCTCAGCCCCTCCTCCGAGCTGCTTTTCTTACTGCAAGTGTTTCTTGTAAAAAACGATTAGATTGCAATTTGTATAACATGGTGACCCCCAAATTCAGACGTTTCACCCCTTTTCTCTGGAAAGAATGCTAAGAATGCTTCTTGGCCTGCCACTGTGGGGGTGGGCGGGGGTGCACCGCCTTGGCTGCCGGGACGACTTGTGTGGGAACAGGGCTGCCGCTCAC